AAACCTAACCTATCTAGAATGGCAAAATAAAATAAGGCCAGCTCAGAAGGTAACAAAAGACAGATACTGCACATATTTCATTAAGGAGGATGTTTATTTTTCCAAATATTGTATTAAGATAGCGTCCTGTTTGCCTATTTCTATCGACATCTGCTCTGTAATACACAAAGAACGATAGAAGATCAAAGTTTTAATTGTGCAAGTAAAAGAATGCATTAATAACATTCTTTCTGTCCTACAGCAACAGAGATAAACTTAAAAATCCTCTCACAGCTAGGAGAACAGGATATTTATATAAAGATGTCCTAACAAAAGAAAAGCATGCAAAACTACCTCTAGTAGATAAACAAACTGGGCTCCCTGTTTGCAGACTGTTCTCTATCGAGCTCAGCCCCAAGGAGAGATCCTCTCCCTCCTTCAGTCAACAGGGTCAACACATCTCAGCTGGGTTTCACAGTTTTATACAAACCCATCTCAGCATCCTTTGTTCATCGACCCTTTACGTTCAGGAAAATGCAGCAGGTGTGTCTTCAACACCCATTTGCTGCTGGTTGCTTTAGCTAGCTCCTCCACCGTTTGCATAGCCTGCACTGCGCGTCCTCCATATCCCTTCAGATACACACCCATTGTAACAGGACACTGGTTCCATGGCATCCGTACAACAAACTGTACTTCCCAATTTCAGAAAGCCAAGAATAATGTCTCCTGAGGGGGAAGAGCCTGAATTTGTTACCTGTTTGTCACACTGCTGCCACGCATTAATGTGATAGCATACTTTGAACTAGCTGTCCTTCTCCTCCCCAAAATTAATACAGCATGGAGCACTCCTTCCCAAGACAGCAGTGGCTGCCTTTATCCACTTACGGTTCCAACATACATACATTGAAAAGAATAAAAAAAAAAAAAACACAAACAAAAACAAAAAACCTCAAACCAACCCATAACTGTTCTAACTTAAAAAACTAGGACTCCCCAAAGCAATGACTAGTCTATCTCATGGAATGTAAGATCAACAGCGTGCGCTGTGCAAGAGTGGGTTCAAATCGACCAGTAGTTCTCTTTCAAACTCAGGGCTCTGAGATGAGTTCTGAAACAACATTTTCAAGAAAAGCATCATTACCATCTCTGCCTGAATGGAGGCCACCACAAGCAGAAAGCCTGAACTGTCTCAGAAAAGGCAACACAGAGGACAAGCTCACTCAGGGCTACCTGCACAGCAAAGACTGACGCTTGGAAGCCATTCCCAGTCTCCTTTCTAGACATCTGTCAACTATATAGAGCCAGTCGTCCTCCGTCCATCCTCTCTGTCTTTAGGGAAGAGGTTAATATTAATTTTAGCTACTTTTTAATTTACTTCTGGGCCAGGGCTCAGTCCATCTGCAGTATTTTTTAAAGTGACAGATTAACCCTCTCAGGGCTCACTCAGTCCTTCCAAACTGCGGGAACTCGCTGCTTGTGCGAAGCTGCACAGAGACACGAGAAGGTGAAGTAACTCATACAGTGAACTATTGTACACAGGGAAACTGGACAAGGCACTTCCTTTTCTTTCGTGTTGTCCTCTCGTTCATAATCATGTCCTTTAAGACATCTGCTAGAATCCTGTAACATTAATGGAAATGGAAAAGCTCCAACGAGAACTCAGGGGCTTCTCTCTTTTTTCCCATGAACTGAACATTATGGAATTTTAACAGATGTTCTACTTGGTCATAGTTAATAAAATGAATTATACAGGAATTAAAAATCTGGCTCCATTTGCTTATATAAAATCTCAGCAGCTGAACTACGTTCCCATTAAGAAATTCTGGAGGATTTACAGTGGATTTATAGCCTGCTCCTGCCTTGTTATAAGATGGCTGGAGATTTTACAAATGAACTTGTCTCTGTTGTGGAAAACATGAATAAATTTACCTGTTCATTGACTGTTCTTAGCAGCACGAACCAGTTTCCACACTGGTACACTACAACCATAGGAAAGGACAATTCTCACTTGGATTTGCTTTGGAAATGACATCATGGGAATTCCACATCGTTTCACAGCCTCCGATTTCTGCCATTTATCCAAAGTCTCATTCAGCAGCCTAATAACCATACTCCCACTTTGTGCTTTATCACAAAAGCTTTCCTCTTGGAGCACAGCTGTCTCTTTCGGGCAACTACTGCCAACAGAATGATGCACCGTACCTCATTTCCCTTTTGATTTTAGGATTAGCTCAGTGTAACGACATCAAAGGAGGATGTAAAGACCAAAATGTAACGGAGAGGTGAGAGAAGAGGCACCAAAAAGGAGGCAGGTGAAAGAGTCATAGCCAAAACTGCCAAGCATTGAGGTTCACTCAAAATTATTTCCAAAAGCATCACATATTTAGCCATCTTCTTTCTCTTTTAATATTCATCTGTACAGAAAGTATTCTGATGAGAAGATAAAGGGGTAAGTGAAAGAGTGGGAATCAAAAATGGTGAAACAACTACCTCGCACCAGAACAGAAGCAGCACAGCAGCTAATGCACATTACATGGAGCAGAATAAGGCTGTCTTGAAAAGATCTACTGTGCTACAGTAAAAAGATGGTGTTTTAACATTGCTCTCTCTTTACAAACAGACTCATTTTCACTTAACGCCAAGCAACTGGCAAGCAGATCTCTGTCCAGGCACTGAAATCTGCTTTATGTGATACGTAAAATCATATCCCAATGCAACACCTAAAATTAATCTTTCTTAAATTCTGGCTCAATAATCTTGCCGGTGCAAGAATATCATCATCTGAAAAGCGTCAATATTTCCAGCCTCTTCCAATTTTATTTTTTTTTATGAAAAAAACATGCATTGAAGCCTCTCTATCCAAAAAATCCCACTCCACTGTAACTAAATAAAGGGGTTTATGCGAGTAAAGAATACAGCATGTAAAGAAGCCTACGTAAGTATAAAAGTCAGCTGGAACTAAATATCAGCCTATATATGCTATGCAGCTACCTGGATGTATCCAATAATGAATATAGATTTTTATCTGAAAATAAAGACTTTCCCTAAAGGAAGAAGTATACTTGAAGAGAAGGGAAAATATCAAGATTAAATGTCAGGCTTCCAACAGCTCCAGCTGAAGGTTCATTACGCTGCTCTTACTCAAGTGGACGTTGCTTTACAATATTTAGTGTCAGAAAAATGCAGCGGTCTTAACACTGTTAAATTCAAAGATTTATTTTTTTTTTTTTAAACATCAACTATGATTTGTTTCATTTTGAAGAGAAAGCACATTTCATTTTGTAATCATTTATTTCTCATTCTATTGGACAGATTCTCCCCAAAAGCAATACTTCAACTGAAATCAGTTCTGAAGGATCTTTTATGAATATACATAATGGAGAAGACCTCCATTAAATTTCCAACAAAGCGCTGCCATTTTGAGTAAACAAAGTTATCTCAGCAGGGTCACACACTATGCCATGAATATGGTCTGCAAATTAATTACCACCCTGACATATGTCAAAACAAATTTTAAGGAGAATAACACCCAGTAGTAACCATGTGTTTTATCTACCTGTTAGTATGCAAAATCTGTATTCAATGGGATCTAAATTTATTCATTTATTCAGAATACCTCAGAGAAATCAAAATGATTCGTTGGCCTTTTTTGCCTGTCTTCAAGAAGTGAAATCTGAGTGAATAACATGTTTAGTGAGCTGGAAAATAAGTACAGGACGAAGCTACGGTGGGGGTTACATTTCAGAAAAGCAGGTGTCATCTCTGCACAAGTAACTAATTTTTTAAACACTCAAAACTGCTAAAATAGACCGCAGTGCATTATCATTTGTCAGCACTTTTAAGGAACACTAAATTTAGTATTTCTTATTTTAGGCAATATCCACCTTTATTCTGTAATTATAACAGGAGCTGGCTAACATAACTGTCTTAAAACCAGTTTTCAGCATAAAGAAAGGCTTTGAAAAGCAGAACTACTGAATGAAGGCTTAAAAAGCCTCTGCAACGGGCTTTATTATCAATGGCAACACAGCCAACAGATCTGATCCTGTGTCTAAAAAACAAAAGATGCCAAGATTCAAATCTAGTTTGCTCAGTTGAGTTATATAAGGAGAGCACAAACCCACACATACCACATTGACCATGGTAAGGAAGGAACCCTTCCTGGACAACAGCTGTTACGTTTTCATAGGAATCGAACCTTGTTTCTTTCTTTGAGGTACTCATAGTACAACTTCTGCTTTGTCAAGTCAAGACGACTTCCTGGGATCTGACTCTGAAACAGTTTTACATTGGGAGCTCATGAATATGTTTTTCTACTACTTTTATAATCTGCCATCAGTTCACACAGCATATCAAACACTTTCATGACACTAATCCTGTAATTCACAGTACGTTTATAAAGCAGGCCAAAATATTTTTAGCTCCAGTTTTTTTTCCAACAGTGAAGTATTTCTGATTTAGAGTTAAGTAATGCCATATCACATCTACAGACTGGAAGACTAAATGCATGTCTTTCACACTTTTTTTTTTTTTTAAAAAAAGAGAGTGCACAATCCTCCCTATATACAGATGACAGACCATCTCTTGGCATCTGCTGACAAATATATTTAAAGAAAGCCTAAATCTATCTGTGCCAAACTTGGCCTGATGCCACCAGTTCACCATTGTTGGCATACATACTTCACATGATGCAATCACAAGACTTGAGGAAGTTTCCAGTACTTTACTTTATGGTTTTCATCATGTTAATATATATATATATATTTCCATCCTTCTACGATTTAGCAGCAACAGAACTGAGATAGGATGATAGATGACTTTTTGTATGTATTCCAGGCTTTCTTAGTGCACATTATCAGTATTCTATTTAAATTACAGACTAGTAACTTATGTAGAATGAAAATACACTACAATTTATAGCTTATGCTTAGAGCAATTGATGTCAACTGTACTACAATCTCGTTAGAAAACAAAGGCAAAGGAATCAATGTAAAAAAAAAAGAGAAAGACAAGTGTTTTACCTCTCTTAATACTGTGCTTTTATAACCCCGATAAAGTCCTTGAATACCCTGTAAACCAACAAAAGAAAGCATCAGCTATAGGAATTAGTTTGCCAAAGAGCACAATTTATCGGTGATTACGAGGTAAGCATTACAGCCTTACTGAGTGTCAGACCTGAACTTCTTGCAAATTGACTGTATTGATTATAACATCGTATACTGTGTTCACGATTTACAATGCCGGAGGGTTTTATGTTCATTTCAAAGATTATTTAACCTCTGTTCAGTTATATATATCCCTTACAGCTAAAATTAAATGGTCAAGAAGGCACAGAAAAACACTACTTCAAACTCTACTTGCCCAATATTTTGGTTTAGAAGTATCCACTATTCCATAAACATTTTGAAACTATTACTTTGCTGTTTAAACAGCCCATGCAAAATGAACTCATAGGATGACAGCTTATGTCCACCTTCTTAGCCTTGCTTCAGAGCTTTTATCAAGACAAATATTTTGTATTTTTAACCAACTGAAAAAATAAAACTTTAATTGTTTTGAATGTTACAAGTGTATAGAAAATTATGTTTAATATCTTACCGGACAGTTTATTCCGGTGTTTGGCAAGTCTAATGGTTCTCTGGCCAGTTACAAAGAAGGGGAAAAACAGGTGGTTTCAAGAGCACCAGCTTTTAGAGCAGAATGACCAACTCACAGAAAAGTTTCAGAGACCCTCTTGTGCAGGGTTATCACAATAATTTTAATTTACAAGCAAATAAAAATCAAGTGGATCATTTAAAGGTCATATTTATGTATTCCTTTTCCTGGCTTTTACACATAGAAATTTGTATAATATTTCTTCCCCACAGTGTTTTCAGGAGCCGCTTTCTTTTACAGAACACAACCTGAAAAATGTCCCTTGCGAGACTCAGTAAAAACAGTGGCGAACAGATTTTTATAGGAAGGAACAGTATAACTACTGAAAAGATGACAAAAGCCCTTATTTTTCAAAAGTCATCAATACTGGATGAGCACTCATTTTCAGAGCTCTCACAGAGCCTCTCTGAAATAACACCTTTAGGACATCCCCTCCAAAGCCTGCTTCAAAAACTGGAAATCATTCAGCAAACTCTAGATACAGAGACTCAAGGTTCCGTTGTCCCAGGCAAGGATTGTTTGCATAAATGCAAGCAGAGCTTTGGAAACTGGAAAGCTAAATCCCTTTTATTTCTAAAAAATGTAGGTACCCTATATAAAAACAGGAGGAAAAAGAATGGTTTAGAGTGTGCATGTAAGTGCATGCACATGGTGGAGGTTTGGCTTCCTCAAACATATGTCAATTGCTTTTAACAACAGAAGAATAGATGAGAAAGTGTTGGAGAGCACAGAAGTGGAATAAAGCTGTAGGAATTCTTCTGGACATGTATGGCACTAAGTGAGAAGAATGAAGCATTTGAAATTTTGCTTTGAACTCACCTCATGATACAAGGTGTGGGAGAGAATCCGAAGAGTACTGGAGGAAGGAGAAACCTGGGCCCTTTGCTTGACAACCTCAGATGGAACCCGTATGAGGCATGCAACCTGCAAAAGAACCGTACGTTCAGAGAGCAATTCCTTTTGCTGCCTTACTTTTCATATAGCAGGCACATTCAGAGATTGTTCCAAGTACAGAAACCTGAGAAACAAGGAAATAATTTTTTAAATTAGATTACTTGAACTTAAAATCTGTTCATGAACAGCTTATGTATTTGCTCAGAGAGCTATGAACTTTCTGAACACAAAATAGTACTAACAGAAAAACAGAAGTACCCTTGAAATTTTTAACTTCCAAACCAGAAGCAGGTTTGGGTGGAGAAAACCACTGATGAAACCAAAATTTTGAAGCCATCCTGTCTTTCAGCAGGCACAGGAATTTTTCCCTCCACTTTCACAGATCTAAACTGGAGATTCAGGACTTGACGAACAAGAAACTTCTTTCCTAGGTAGTTCCTTTGTGCCCTCTAGTGACTGACGGCAAGAGACACTCTGGTTAGCTGTAGCTGCACACAAATATAGTCAAGGTTTACCTTAAAGCACACACTGGATTTCATTCAAGGTGAAGCACTGGATTGATTCTTTCCTACACAATGAATTTACTAGGCAAGAGAGGCCCCTGCAGCTGCATGCAATAACGTGGCTGCAGCCACAAAGCTTCAGCTTTTCTGAAAAAGCCAGACCTGGCTTTAAAACGCTCACCTGCCACTTCAGCTTCAGGCAGGAGTTAAGCTTTTGTGCACATAATTGTGAGAAATGAGGATCCTGAGGTGTTGGAGGGTTACAAGCCTCTCATCTCTCTAGAAAATGCCTGTTCACCAGCACAAACCTTTAAGAATTTGTCTTCAATTGGCCCCAGGGATACTTAAGGCAGTTCTGGGACTGGCAGCAGAACACTGGAGACACCTTTGCCAGATTTTTAGTCTTCCTCAATCCCATCCTGTGCCAGGCTCAGGAACACACTGTGGTTGCTAGACGTAAAGGTGATCACCGAGTACTTCAAGTCAAGAGCAACCTCGGTGAAAGCTGTCCATCTGAAGTGGCAAACCAAGCTGCTACCTCAGATCCCACATGTGCCAAATAAAGTTCAGGCATTGCCAGACTGCACAGAGGCAGTAACTTGAGTGGTCATTTGTGGGTAACACAGTACAAGGTTTAAGTTCCATTTTCACAAAGAGACCAAGAAAAAGTCTGTTATCCTGTTACATTCCTACAAGTTTACCAGACAACAATATCCAAAAGTCATTACAAACAGATCTAACTCCATGTGCTCTTCAATTCTCAGGGTCAAAAATAACAAGTGACCCCAATCTGTCAAGAAAATAAGAACTGTCAAGTTTTTTGATGGTTCAGCATAAATATTTATAGAACTTCATGCTTCATAACACTCCATGTCCTTATATTAGCTTTTTATTCCTTAAAAATACGGAAGCAGGAAGAAAGCTTTAAAAAGGTTTGGATGAAAACAATCTAGTCAATCAAGACCAGACAAAGAGCACAGTGTGGCTTCCTGACATCTGGGGTGCTGCAGTTTTGGCTGGAGAAGGGTGGCTATAAAGTAACGTCTCCATTTCCCCCAGACTACTTGGGGTGCATTTCATTTCAAATTAACTTTGATGTCTTTCCCATTTGAATTTGCGCTTACAAGGGAACCTGTGGCTGCACAAGAACAAAACCAGTGATTACATTGTGCTGTCATGAAAGGAAATAAAGGCTCGTGTCACCCGGGCTGTGCTGTCAGGTGGGCTCCACAGGGCACTTGTGGTACAAGAAAAGCCACGAGCTGCAACTGCCAACATCAGACTGAACGGTGACATTTTCGCTGTGCGCCTGAACTTACAACGTGTCACCTTGTTTGTTTTTACATGTGTACCTCACTAAAAAAACCAATCTGAGCAGTCTTTTGATGTCAGTCAAACACGGGTCTCTAAAGGGAAGTACGTAAGATTAAGTTCACACGTGCCTTATTAGCCCATAAGGTTAAAAAAAGTAACAACCTGGGACAGACGGGTGCGGAAAAATCTCCGATCTATTACGCTCAGATCTCAGTCACTGTAACGCCTTCCAGGTAACGCTGCCCAAGTTAAGAGAACACAACGTGCATCTCCACCGTTTGCTTTCTTAGCTAAATCTGTTCCAGCAGCGGGATAACACTGCACCAAAAGAATTAGTACTTACATTTTCAGACACCTGAAAGCTATAAGCAAATTACAGAGCAAGGGTGAAAGATATAATTGCATGGCTGCTCCACAGTAACTGTCCTACATGCTTTTACCTGCATCGACTGCGAGATAAATAGACAGGGAAGATGGACAATAATGTGACCTTGCATAGTGGGAGCCCATTCACCTCCCTAATCACCAAGATCCCAGGAAGAAATTGCTTTTTAATCTTTGGGCTGTTCACACAGATGTAGTCTGTTGCTTGCCGCAGAAAAACACAATACAGCCTGCCAAACTCAAGCTATTCCTGGTGCATCCCACCAGTTTTGGAGATGACCCTGTGACGAATTAGCTGTCAGACATCTGCAGAGCCAGCCATGGAGAGGGTACAGCAGCAGCCCTCAGCTACCTCGGCCAACATTAAAGCATCAGACAACAGCACCCTGTTTATAGAGGCCACACTCATTTTTCCAAGCAAGCTCTGGAGCCAGGAGTTATTCCAGTCTTTCAATAGCAGCAGAAAGACAGAATCAAGATCCTACAGACAAAGTTCAGAGGAAAAATGAGTGCTGCCCTATAAGCTCCTTCCGTATTTCCCAGGGCAGGCAATATAATTCTCCAGTTTTCAGACTCTCTCCCCCATGTCAATGCACATGTACACATACCACAAGGGCAGGAAACCAATAACCCTGAAACAAAAGGCTCAAGGATTTTCAGATTTAAGCTTTAACAGAACATGATTTTACAGCTACAAGCAAAGCTATTATTAGTTTACAGAGCAGGCATACAGAAATGACAATATTATCATCTATTATCTTTCTAACCTTTTAATACTCTAACCACTTCTGCACAAAAGAGTACCGAATTTCAAAATCCTTGTCTTAAATCATGGCCAGGTCAAAGGGTGACTCCAGTATTTAGATGCAAACCTCACTGCATTTTTAAGTTACTGACTTGCAGTAGCCAGTTAGGGACAAAAGCTAAAAATAAGACTATTTTGTTAACATTTATCTATGTATTGCTATGACGGCATAACTTCCAATTAAATGAAGGCAATTTTTTTCCTGTCGGTTCAGGGAGAAGTGTTTTAACTTTTGGCTACTCCTTGTATGCATCAACGCTGCCATCTCCTGGTCAGATTCCTGTTAGAACCAGACTTTCCTTTTCCTGGTTCTTCCGACAGACCTCTCGACTGGTTCTGAAGAATGACCAGTGCAATTAAAGTCTCAAAGATCCATTAAAGTCAATGCAAAGCCTCTTTCTATATACCAGTTTAAACAGTTTGTTTCAGTATATCTGAAATCCATTCCTACGTGGCTGTAGCTAACAGAAAATATGATCTGCTGCAAATAGCACCAGGAGCCTGTGCGAAGCCATGGGCACACCTAAGCTGGAAACACCTTATCTGAAATCTCTAACTTCTGCATAGGGGGTAATCCCACTTCAAACTGGAGCAGCTGTTCAAAACTAGGCAGTACTCACCGAATTCATCAGCACAAGGTTATGGAACATTTTCCTCTAGACAATAACACAGGATACATGATAAAAAAGAACAAAGAGGGGACAGCCCTGCTTACAAGGGTGTTCGGTGCGAGTAGGTCATCCAGGTCTTGACGATTCAACAGCCATGGAACTGCAAAAGTTGCGAGATATAGACAGCTCACTGCTCTTCCAGGGAAACCAGCAGCAAACAGCCTACTGTGAAAACAGCTCAAGAAAACTCTCAACTGAAAGGAGATTTTTTTTTTTTTTTAAACTATTGTGTGGTTAACATGACAAATAATCTGAAGTAGCTGGTTGGACTATAACAAGTCCACTGCATTGCCACTGCAGGTCCTGGAGGAAGCACCTATCTGCAAACCACCACAACACCACTTCTAGTTCACTAGCAGGTCCTTGCTTCTCTGTCCATTACGTTCTGCTCTTTAGCAAAGGCAAACATTAGACAATAACAGCATCTTTAACTGAGCACAACCCCTCCTGGTCTTCAGAGCTATTTTATTATCCAAATGTTAACATATCCCATTTAGATTAACAGCCTTTTGCTTCCATCCTTTGTGCTCCAGGCTAACTATTTTCTACATGATTGGTTTTGTAGGATTTAGTAGAGAATTGAAGATGGCACGTGCATTTATTTTTAGGTACCTATACTACAGTTTGACCACTAACTTTGCAGGCATGATCTGCGCAGGAGATTTATCCAGAAACATTTGGAAGAGCAGGTGTTACAGCTGCTATTAAGGGCTTATGCTGAGTATTTAAATTGGGTTGATGCATGGCAGGTTTTTCTCCAAACTGTGGATGCAGCTGGTGCAACACTATTCACAGCTTTGTACCTCTAAGGAGAGCAGCTTGAGAAAGCATTCCCTTATGGAGCCTGGCATGCACCCTGCACAGCTCATGATCTGACTCATGCCCCTAAAAGCTCCCACAATGACACGGTCTGAGCACTTTCTGTCGTTAGTAAGAGACAGATATTATCCAGGCTCTTCAGACAGTCTTTGCCCTTCAGTAGCCTAAGAGCCCATTTTGTTAAGATGCTGGCACCTGATGTGCTCCTGGCTAATGAGCTGATCTATTCTCTGCACTAACCTGGGACTGAGTGAGGATCAAGACCAAACTCTTTCCGCTTAGTAATTAGCCAGTCATTCTGCTACAAGGCAGGAGAAGAGTATCTGACAGAGAACTGTTCTGGAATACGTTAGTGGCTCCTCATTTAGGAACCTCTGCTCAGTGACTCCGAGCAAGCCTCTGGCTCGCAAATCTAAGACTGCTTTGAAAACTGGGTACAGAAACATGTGGTGAGTTCCAGAAAACTTTTTTGTGTTGTAGCTTTAAGCCTTTTAGAACACTGTCTTGCTAAAGGATTTTAATTATAAATTTCCT